AAGTTTCGGTTTTGTTCATAAATGATGTGGCATTTTTATCTACGGAGTCATCGACTGTGGGAATTCATTCGCCGAAATCTGGAGTCGGTGGTGAGAAATGTTTTCAATGAAATTATAGTAGTTATTAAAATGTAAGAGAAATTACATATTCATTTAATAAATAACTTACTTAAATTTTGTTGTTTATTTTATTTTATTTTATTTCACATACAATTTTTTTTGAAAAATATTAGGAATGTGTTAAATGTTATTTATATGCGAAGTAAGGTTTATAGGAATAGTTAGGCTATAATATAGTTTTTAGTGTGTAAAAGTAGGTGTATTTTTTTTTTGCTGTAAATAGTTTTTATATCGTAGATCAAAACTTGATATAATTCTATATTTATAGTATTTATATTTGTATTAAACGATTTATCAATTTGAAAGTAACCTTAATTAAGTTAATATTCGTTGTTTAAGTTTCATTAGATAGGTTTTTATATATGGTTTTTTGTAAGTTTGAGTTTTGTTCATAAATAATGTGGCATTTTTATCTAAGGCGTCATCGACTGTGGGAATCAATTCGTCGGAGTCTGGAATCGGTGGTGAGGAATATTTTCAAGAAAATTATAGTAGTTATTAAAATGTAAGAGAAATTATATATTCATTTAATAATAAGGAAAATAATTAATTTTTGTTGTTTTATTTTATTTTATCTCACATACAAATTTTTTGAAAATATATATTAGGAAATATGTGCAATGATTTAACTTTTTGAGCTCCTAATCTATATTATTCAACCCTCATTAAGCCATCCACGTATGCACCCGCGTGGAATTCACGTTTTTTTTGTGTTTTTTTGTCTGTTCATTTTTGGATTTATTTTTTATTATTTTTGGGTTGAGCTATATTATAATAGGATAGTTTTAACCGCGTAGGCAACCACGTGAGACTTTTTTTTTTTTTTTGTTTTATTATTCGTTTTGGATTCATTTTTAACTATTTTGGGTTTGAACTTATTAAGGTTTAGGGTTTATACAACTATTTTGATCTTTAAAACAATAAGCCCCAAAAATACATAAGAACCTTATAAACAAAAATCCCATATGATAATAACCTAAATAAAAAAAAAAAATCAAAAATACATGATAGCTGCGTGGTTTGAACCCACAACCACGTGAGACTTGTTTTTTTTTGTTTTTTTTGTTTTATTTTTCGTTTTGGATTCATTTTTAACTATTTTGGGTTTGAACTTATTAAGGTTGAGGGTTTATACAACTATTTTGATCTTTAAAACAATAAGCCCAAAAAAAAACAAAAGAACCTTATAAACAAAAAAGTCCATATGATAAAAACCTAAATAAAAAAAAATAAAAAATACATGATAAGTGTGTGGTTTGAACCCACAATCTTGCATACTTAATTAGACACCTTATACCACTTGGCTAAAGTGTATTTCATTGTTCGTAACCATCTTACCAAGACTATGTGTGTTTAAAAAATATTTTTATGATGATGATATTAATTAGTTTATGCATGAGAGCAGTGGGAATTGAACCCATGTCCTTGGAGACCAAACATGAGGTCTTAGACCACTTGGCTAAACTATTATTCTTTGTTTATAGCCATTTTAAAACAACTATCTATTTTAATATGAAAATGTGGGACCCACAATCTACTTATGTGGATACCTTAAGGAGCCTTAAAAGTGTATCATTATAATATAGATTTAACTTAACTTAAATGGGAAATAACTGATTCTTCCATGAACTAATTGTTTCCGTTTTTTACATAAAATTTTAGTCCATGTCAAAACCTACACGAACAATACCATTTTTTTTAATTCTAGACACAAACTTTTAGGCCATGCCAAATCCCATATAAACAACTCCGTTTTTGAATTTTATACACGAACTATCAATTTTAAACCAATTACTGCAAAACTATAAACGGTGTTAGTATCCATTAACAAATGAAAAGTCGGTTTAACTTGGCAAACCAAATAGCAGCAGCATTTTGTTTCACAACATAGACCAACGACGTCGTTGTAGCTTATTTTGGATCTTTTTAAGGTTTCTAATGTGATGTTTTTTTGGATTAGAAAATGAATACAACGTCGTTGGTCTATGTAGAGCTGTCAAATGGTCTGTCCATGGGCCAAATGGGCTTGACCAAAGGGACCATTTGAGATATGGGCAATACTGGGTGGTCCAATATGGACAATGGTCCAAAAAGTGTCCAAGACCAATAAAGACCAAGACCAAATGGTCAAGCCCATGGACACCCAATACATTTTCATTTGTATTCAATTACACTTATATGTTTATTTATTTGTACTTATTTAAATTTATAAAATCTCATAAAAGTTGTAATTTATTTATTTTTACTTCTTTAAATTTATAAAATCTGTAATTAGTTGTTTGTACTTATTTAAATTTTATAAAATCTGTAAAATGAGAACAATGAGTCAATGAGTATGAAACAATGAAACCAATGAGTTTAAAAGTTTGAAACAATGAAAAATATGAGTCAAGCAATAGAGAGCAATGAGTTTTAAAACGTAACAGATAGCATGTAAGAGTATTGTGACAGCCAGGAAACAAACATATAGCACAAGACATCTTCAATCTTCAAACAACTTCACAAGATCATCCTGCATCACAAACAGCACAAGACATCAAATCCTGAAATATTTGAGCAAAAAAAAACACTGATCGAAACAGAGACTTCTCTGTCTAATTCTCTTATACACTATCTCAGTGACAGTACCTATCAGCTAACTAAAATGAATGATCAAACTTGTAGCTCGGAGTACATCACACTTACCAACGAATCTTCAGTGAAGTTAAAGAACTGAAATATTATCGCCACAATTAAGAAGACAATACCCACAACTATTCCCAATGACTCAGGCCTACAAAGAAACAAGACGAACAAAAAGTGAGAAATAGTGAAAACCAGCGCAACAAAGACTCTTTAATCCGACCAGACAAGCAAAAGTCAGATGTTAACCTAAGAGACATCCACTCTAAGAAAAACGGATAACACTAATACTAATCTGAAACCAAAATAACTTAATGAGACAAATTTAAAGAGCTAAAGACTTACACATTAACATAAACAAACTAATCAGACCACATAAGCAAGTCAGATGTCACAGAGATCAAATCAAGCCTAGACTTGGACAGAGCATCCGTTTCAAACACTAAAACTTAGCTAAGTTAACAAGCTAATCAGACCACCCAAGCGAAGTTAGACATCACATAGATAAAATCAAGCCTAGATCTCGACAGAACATCCATTTCAAACACTAATACTAAGCTGAACACGCAAAGACTTACACTTTAATATAAATAAACTAAAGTCAGATGTCACAGAGATCAAATCAAAGCCCAGACTGTCGACAAAACATCAATTTCAAAACACTAATCCTAAGCTGAAACCAAAAAACCACTTAGACAGACTCTAAGCAAATGAGATTCAGTTCCACCTTTCAACAACAGCAAAAGACACATAGACAAACTCTGTTACTAATGAAATCAAGAAAGCAAAACGCAAACATTTAGCACAGAAAGGATTTAGGCTAAGAAAAGCAGAGAACTGAATATAACATATGTTGACAAGACATGAAACTCGAGATAAACCTCACAAAAAAAAAACAGCATCACACAGATATAAAAGCTCCATACATGATCTCATGAATCAAAGAAACTCATCACGTCTTCACACAAGCGTCTCATGAATCAAAGAAACTCATCACGTCTTCACACAAGCCTCAAATGCTTAACAAAAACGATTTAAGTCATAAACGATTCAAGCCATATAACAACACATAACAAGACATCAAGTTACATACCTCTTTCTCTTACTAAGATCTGAACTCAATCTCATCACCTATCTCATGAAATCCACGGAACCAGTTCCTAGCGCAGATAAGAGCTTGAACGTTTGCTGGTAGGAGACAGCTTCGGTACTTGTTGAGGACTCGGCTGCCGATGCTAAAGGATGACTCCGACGCCACTGTCGTGAGAGGGATGCTCAGCACATCACAGGCCATCTTAGAAAGCTCTTTGAAGCGGCCTGCATTATTTTTCCAGTATGATATAGCATCCCAACTTTGAAAGCTTTCCATATCTATCACTGGCTCATCCAAGTAAGTGTCTAATGGTGATTTCCCACTGCCACCGCCAGTCTTTTGAGAGAAGTAAGCATAAAATCCCTGTAAACAAAGATCAGATTCTATTATTCTATCATCTTCCTACGAGTCTTAAGAGTAAACTTACATTATATCCTGAAGGGATGTTGTGTCGAGGAGCCTGTGAAGTAGATGCATTAGTGGCATTTGTGTCTTTCTTGTATTCTCCAAAAAGCTTAACCATCTTGGCACGTATATACACCAAGTTCAACTTACAAGTGTCTGGATCTAGAGTGTTGTAACAATACTCTAGAAAAGCCATCTTCAGCCTAGGATCAAGAACAGCCGCAATTGCTAATATGTCACTGAACTCTTCCCAGTATTTGTTAAATTTCTCTTTCATAGCCACCACCATTTCACAAATGACTCGATCCTCTGAATCTTCATGATGTCTGAATATACTCTTATAATAAACAAAAAAAAAACTCCTACATCATAAAAATATATACGGTACAGGCGCTTCTTTATAAATTTTATACTCTTATAATAAACAAAAAAAAAACTCCTACATCAAACCAAAAAACAATTGGACGACAGTAATCCACGGCCATAAAGTGAAGAACGCTGAGAGACTAAGCAACGAACAATTCATTTGATCATTTCAGCTAAAGCCTAAAGCCTAAAGTAAGTAAGCAACTAACAATTCATTTCAGCCTAAAGAAGTAAAGTCTAAACAAACAAGTATCAAAGACTGAGAGACTCTTACTTGAGAGAGAGGTCGCCGGAGAGAGAGGTCGCCGGAGAGAGAGAGCTTGAGAGACGGAGAGAGAGATCCTGAGAGTGAGAGAGAGAGAGCTTGAGAGACGGAGAGAGAGAGATCCTGAGAGTGAAAGACACAGAGAGTAGAGACTTACAGAGCTTGAGAGAGCTTGAGAGAGATCGCCGGAAAGAGAGAGATTGGGAGACGGAGAGGTCGCCGGAGAGAGAGATTGAGAGACGGAGAGATTGATTGATGATCTGGGTTCAGATCTTATTGATGAACCCACAAACCCATTGATCGATCTCCATCGCCACTGTGAGTCTGTGAGAGAGATTGAGAGACAGAGAGATCGAGAGAGAAAATTAGGTTTGACGTAATTTGGGTAGGCCCGAAGCCCATTTGGACAAGACCAAATTGTCCATGGGTGAAATGGGCTTAGGCCCAATTGGACCATTTGTAATTTGGTTGCAACCATGGACCGCCCATCACAGTTTGGACTGGTCAAACCCATGGGCGGGGTGACCATTTGACAGTCCTAGGTCTATGTCGTGAAACCAAAGATAAAAACCTAATCCCCAATTTAAAAAGAATAACAAAAGAACGTTGTTATCTATGTTATTAATGGGAATCAGCCATTTTCCCTAACTTAAATAACAACAAGTATATAAATAACAAGTATATAAATGGTTACGCTAACTGAGATAGTATCGATGTACAGAGCTTGGAAAAACTATATCATAATAACTTCCACAAACATTTGTTTTGTTTTGTTTGAGTTAGTTTGATAGTTTATCAACAATAATTAATTCATTGAAATATATGACTGATTAAAAAGGAGTAATCCCGGCTGCTAAAAAATGCATAGGCTTAGAATCTATTACTCTATGCATGATGCAACTTGGAAATGGAACTCTACGAGCGATTGCTGAGATATGAAAGAATTGAGGAAATTTGACTTGGAGATTATTTGGACGACTCATTTGGATGTAGAGAAACCCCTAGACGTCGGAGTTAGAGCTCTTTTTAGTAGATGTGAGAAGCTGAGAAAGTTTCGTTTGCATCTGATTAGAGGATGTGTCACTGATGTTGGAATGAGTCACATAGGGGAGTTTGGCAGCAGGTTGAGGAGGACAAAAATTTTCATCGTCTGTCAATCAACTATGAAACTTGTTGCCTATGTTTCTCTAGGTAATGAGCTCTCTGATTACCCTGATAAAGTTTGTATAAAAGATAAACATCAATTGTCTTTAAGAGAATGGGGTTATTACTTCTCTAATGTTGTCAAGTCTATAGAAAGATAAACATCATGTGTTATTTTAGGGGGGGAGGGGGGGGGGGGTTATAAGGGATTTCACATGATCCAGGGATAAACATAAGGTGTTTTTAGATGATAATTAAAAAAAAAAGATAAACATCAATTGTCTTTAAGAGAATGGGGCTGTTACTTCTCTAATGTTGTCAAGTCTATAGAAAGATAAACATGATGTGTTCTTTTAGGGGGGGGGGGTATTAGGGAATTTCACATGATCCAGGGATAAAACATAAGGTGTTTTTAGATGATAATGAAAAAAAAAAATTTCATGATGCACTCTAGAAATACTTTCTAAAAGTTAATATTATAGTACGATAAGTCATATGATTAATAATTAACAATGGTTAATATATAATTCTTGTTGTGGAGTCTGACAATTTACTGGAATTCTTCTATATATATAATTAACTCTCATTTGCATATTTTATAGTCCACAAAAATTGGTTGAATTTTTTTCGAAATCTTCACATCACTTATACACAAACAACATGACACTGAAAAGGTCATCATCATATCTATCTATTTATATAAAAGAATGTTTACTCACTCATGAAACCATCCACATCATCAGCTATATCAGTAAGTCTAGCAAGTCAATGACGCCACGTGTTTCCCTTAATGAATAGTACTAAAAACTTGATAGATAAGCATATTTTTTGAAAATATATTAATGAATAGTACTAAAAACTTCAAATTATTATTATTTAGACTAAATATATTAAATAAAGTATTAAATAGTCCACAAATAACTCTAGTTAAAGTTAATTAAACACAAATCAATTAGAATTTTTTTTTAAATTATAAATAATTATTTTAACAGATGAAAAAATTATAATTTCGGTTAGACAAATATACTTACAATTTTAATTTTTTTATTATTTCATTATTCAATATTATTATCAACATTTACATATATGTTATTTTAGTATGTGTTTTAATATATATATATAGTGATTTTATATAAGTATTAAATCTATACATAATTTTTTTTTTTTGGCACAAAAAGATGCATAAAATTAAAAGGCCTCAGGCCCAGAGTTTTACACCCTACTTGGGTTTGAAGCAGAAAAAGATACAGAATTTAAAGCCCATTTGGCCAAAAGATCGGCTTCGACGTTTTGGCTTCTTGGGATGTGGACGAACGAGATAGCGTCAAAAGCAGAGGCGATTTGATGGATATACATAATTTCGAATTTTAAAACATAGAAATAAACTGAAAAGAACATAAACAGTCTTACATAATTTTTAATATAGATACATGTAATCAAACTGAAATTAACATGAACAGTCATTTTCATTTTGTATCATAAGCAAAACACAGCATAATTTATTAACAATAATAATTAATTAATTAGTTATTACTAATATATTTTTTGGTAAGTTTTAAGTTTTCTATTTTAAAAAGACGTAATGATATGTTTATCATTATATATAAGTACTATCAGAATATTAATAAATAAAATAAAACTATTAAAATTTACTGATGATATATAGTAATTTGTTATTTATTACCAATAAATTCTCTTTAATAACTTCGAATAATATAGTTTACTTGCATACCTAATTTAAAAACATGTATCTTCATAAGTAGTAATAATTAGTATTAGATTTTCAAGTTGCATACCTAATTTAAAATATTTGTTTAAGTTGTAATGAATTAGTTACTATTTTATATTATATACATATATTCTAAAATATATAAATAAAATATCTATAAATTTAAGAAATAAATGTATAAAAATATCTATATTCTGTGTTAAATTCAATGGGATATGATTTTAAAATTTATATTTTATTTAATATGAAAATAATGTAAAACAGATATATAATTTATATAAGAATAATAGTAAAATAGCAAAAGTTATTATAATAATGGTGAAAGTGTAACTTAACAGTAAGTAATTTGAATTTTTTTAGCATTTTCAGTAAATTTAAATAATATTAAATTTATACAGAATTTCGAATTTTAAAACATGCAAGTACATTGAAAAAAAATATGAACAAAATTGTAACTGGCTACAGTATAAATGCACTGCGATGTAACAATATCTATCATCACAAATGCATTGTTTACGGGATCCAAATAAACATAAGATGTCCTTAATGTCAGAACACGGCATCTTAAACGACATATTTCCAATCTAGAATAATATATTTGTGGCTTTTATCCCATTATCTATTTTTATTTCATATTTCCCATGTTTTTGTTATTAATAAAATTTAATCTTTATAGTTATATAATTAAAATTCGTGTAGTACGGACCGGCGTATGCTTATATAAAACAAAACAAAAAAAAGAAGTGCCTACTAAAGAGAGCTCAACAATATTTGACCAATTGCATAATGATTTATTCAATTTTCATTAAAAAAAATATTTACTAGAGGTTTTGTCAACATTTGTTTTTTCTGTTACTATGAGAGAATAACTAATTCCGATCTCAATTGCTGGAGAAGATAATTAAGAATCATTGAAGCAATTATGGAGTATCCCCTTTAATCGTTGAATCAGTATTCTAATGCAAAATCTTAGTAAGAGATAGCTTAAGAGCAAATCCAAGTAATGCATAGACATGAACTCAGTAAGTGAATCAGAAAGAAACACCGAAGAAAATCAAAGTACATAAAACATAAGAATCACTGGAGAGCATTGAGCACCGAATTGCTCTACGAATTAAGAAAAGAGACTCTCGATGTGATTTGGGAAAACTTGCAAGGTGGACTTGCCGTTAATGCTATCAAGTCCACAACGGCGTCTAAGGTCACCCATATTTCTTTCAAGAAAGACTTTTCTAGTACTGTTTCTTTTCGGATCCAAATATAGAGCATAAAACGTTTCATAGAAATCAGACGGAGCAAAAACAAACTCACCAGCATCTGTAGTACCCCAGAAATGTATAGAGAACTTCTGTACGCTCTCATATGGTAAATGAAGAACAAAGAGTTCACGTGTCCATTTGTGTCCATGTGCATCTTCCAAAATATAAAGTGTAACATCATCATATGGATAGTCATAAGTAACTAAAGCTAGCCTTCCCTCATAGTGTATAGTATGAAAGGAGGAAAAAGAGAGACCCACCGCCGGATAGTGTATAATATTGAAGGACTCAGATTTGACATCAAAGCTCATTATGGTATCAACAAAATCACCAAGACGCAGAGCTCTGTAATACAGAATCCCATTGAAGCATCGTCCATGTGTTCCTATAATTGGGTGATGCTTAGGGCAACGTCCTTTGGGTATTATTCTCCATGATTCTTGACCTCCCAATGTAAGAACCTGAGGCTGATCAGTAAACTCCATTGGGAACATGAACAATACTTTGTGTTTACCCTCCAATGGATCGTATCCTAAATAAGACGACCAACCTAAACAAGACCCCCAACCGTCTCGACTCGAGCTGGATTTATCAGGACGTGGTAAGGATAAAAACCGATTCAAGGTTGGGTTCCAAATCTTAAAATCGGGTGATAAAATCAAACCACGGATGCTCTCGGATCGCGGGTATTTCCAATCTGTGTTTGTTATTTGATAACTATAGAATGGAGAACAAGTCGACCGGTCAGGAACCTGGTCTTGAGGAAACGAGAATACATATTTTTCCGAACCAGATGCGAAGGTGATCAGAAGAGTCGGTGATCGTGAAGTGGACCGAGACGTGAACGAGTTGGTAAAACTAGGAAGTGTGATAAAAGAAGACCACAGCTTCGAGACACATTGATATCTCATGATTGATTTCGCAGGAAGCCTTGAGACTATATCCAATGCTAGATCAAGAGGAAGATGGTTAGGCTGTGATTTATCATCATCTTTGGATCTCTCTTGTCTTCTTCTCTTCTTGTTCTTCCATGGCTGATGATTCCTCGACAATATTTTCTTCTTGAAAACCCTCATATTCTATCAAAATAATACAGTGTTTAAAAAAAAATACAATACACTAGGCACGCACGTTATATAATAAACCGAGCCTAGCGTAGTTGAATTTTCCTAACTGAGAGAACTTTTTGCTTTTCCTTTTTTAAAAAAAAAAAATTCAGACGATAAGTTAATAATCGACTAAAAAGGTGGTGGCGTGTAGGTTTAAAAAAAAAAGGAAAACAAGATCAAATTTCCATTTTTTGTAGAGTTTAGTAAAATAAAAGAAATATGGAAAAATGCATAGACTTTTCAATTTCCAATAGGGAAATCAAGCGTCGTGATTCAGATCACTATCGTCGTCATGAGAGGTCTCAACACGAAGAAAGTAAGGAGATGGAAACGAGAAGAAGAGAATGGTTACGTGTTGCTGAAGTCAGTGAGGGACGTTCTGCTTCTACTGTATCGAAAACTTTTATAGCGAGCTCTTAAGCAACCCAAGACCCAACCAAACTTGAAAAAGAGATCCGCACAGCAGCTAGCTTACGAACGTGAACGGGCTCACATGGACAGGAACACGGCGAGAAAGCTAACTCCTTCAGAGAAACGTGGAAGAAAGAGTGAAAGCTTTTTGATAATCCAACAACCATGGAGACGTGGAAGGTCAAGAAGCTTTCAAATTCCAGAACAAGATTCAAAGTAGAGATGAATGCTAGACAAAAACAGATTGACAGGGTGTCAACCCCAATTGTACATAAACTATACCCTATCAACTAATCACTAAACCCTACATGGAAATATAAACCCTAATCCAATATCAAACTCAATCTTTCATAAACAAAACCCTATACGGAAATATAAATCCTAATCCAATGTCAACCACAATCTTTCATAAACTAAATCCTAGCCACTAATCACTAAACCCTACATGGAAATATAAATCCTAATCCAATGTCAACCCCAATCATTCATAATCTAAATCCTAGCCACTAATCACTAACCATACATAGAAATATAAACCCTAATCTAAAGTCAACCCCAATCTTTTATAAACTAAACCCAAATTTCAAAATGAAAATAACATGCATTTCCATTCTACATGAAAATATAGAATAGAAAAGATAACAAACGATATAACACGATACATATATATTATTCAAATTTTGAAGTGTTTATGATTAGAGGGAAGGAGGTAATGCTTACACCAAATTCAGATTGATTGTAGCGAAAATAAATAAAGATTAACAACATTAGAGAAAAGAAATGGAAGAGACAACATAGGAATATCATGCCCATTCACGTCACATTGTTTTCTGTTTTATTTGATGTCATAATAATCCTATTCCATTTACGTTCAATATATTATTTCTCTTTACAAAATCATATACAGATTAATATAAAACACATGAAATGACAACGAACAAGAATGAATCATCTCTTGCAAACATCGAATGAAATATAACTTACTAAATAATACATTATATATTAATAAACATGGCAAATAGGAGAATAACCAAATTTGAAGGAAAGACAGTCTATTCCATTTTATAAAATAGAATAGAAATACTATTACCCTTCCAACACATCCATGCAAAACCTGAAGAACAAAATGAAAACATACGTTATTTTACAAGTTGGAAGAAATGGCAGCATATAAGATAGGCTACTAGTATATGAATTACTTTATACTTAGATTAAACGTTTAGTTGTGCAATCCTAAATAGCCTATGCGAGTAAAGAAGTAACATATGCAATTAGAACTGTACCATCTGATATAATGTAGAATATATATATGGAACATAACAGATGATTAAATGGAATGGAAATCGAATAGTATAGTATAGTAGTTCTGATACGATTCTTCAACCTTAAATCAATTCGTTTACTTCAGCTTACCAGATCGGACATGTAACATAAACGATGAGTTCGATTTATCAACTTAGGATAGACAAGGACCGGATCCATTCCAAATAGGGGAAATAACATAATCTATGATACAAAACAGAGAACCTACAATATTTCAACATATCTCAATCTACTCGCCGATATGAAGGAGATGAGGTCTTGGTGGTTGTTCACGCGGATCATATTTACGAACTCTTCTCGCAATCAATTTCACAAGCGGAGATGATTTTTCCCTTTGAAACACACTTTGAGGAGTCAAAGAAACGCAGAGGAGACAGCGACTCTGGAGAGAAAATCGGTGGGTTGGAAGAAGGTGAAACCGTCGACGGCAAATTTTCACTTTCTCAAAAATTTATCAAAGCATGTTAAAAGAGATAATGTGATGTTAATAGTGCCATGTTACTTTCCACATTTATAATTAAGAATTAAAAAAAAAACCAGCAAGTTCAGCCGTTGAGAGTCAAGGACAAAACAACAATATTACATAAAATTGTATTTGATGAATAGAAAAGGTAGGATAATTTTCTATCAACCTAATTATGGTTTATTGTGGTGCTATACAGTCCAAATTCCCATGAGTAATCCCGGTTGCTAAAAAATGCATAGGCTTAGAATGTATTTCCCTATGTGTCCCAAATAAGCTTTTGGTAGAAATAATTTAATGTTGAAAAACAAATCAAAAGTTTCCACAAACATATGTTTTGTTTTGTTTGTGAGTTAGTTTGAGAATTTATCAACAATAACTAATTCATTGGAATGTATGAATTTTTGATAATTTTTTTCTATGACTATGAATTTCTATTGTTTGTAGTAATATAATAGACATACCCTTCAACTTATGCTTTAAAGTTTTGTGGTCGTAACTTTGGTCTGTGAGATTAGTACATACAACAATTTCACATTAAAACTACAAAACTTAAAAGCAGGAATCACATGACTTTGGTGTGTGAGTTTAGTACATACAACAATTTCACATTAAAACAACAAAACTTAAAAGCAGGAAACTCAGGCTGAGTGTTCGGCATTGTTAGAATAAAAATCATTAGAAGATAATAATACTTAATTCAGGTAATTAAAAATCACTTATAGGTGATTCCCATTATTATAGAATCATTGAAGCAGTTATGGAGTATCTATCCCCTTTGATTGTTGAATCAGTATTGTAATGCAAAATCTTAATAAGAAAGAGCATAAGAGAAAATCAAAGTACTGCATAGACATTATGAACTCAGTACGTGAATCACAAATAAACACTAAAGAAAATCAAAGTACATAAAACATAAGAGAAGTAGTGGTGGTGTCTATAAAGAAGAGAGACTCTCGATGTGATTTGGGTGAACTTCCACGTTGAATAGGTCGTTGCAATCAAGTCCATAAGGGCGTGTAAACTCATCCAAAATTCTTTCAAAAAGTACTTTTCTAGTAGTGTTTCTCTTCGGATCGAAATATGTAATATAAAACGCTTCATGATAACCATAGGGTGCAAAAATAAACTCACCAGCATCTGTAGCACCCACGAAACGTATGAAATCCATCTGTAAGCTCTGATATGGTAAATGAACAACAAAGCGTTGACGTGTCCATTTGTGTCCATGTGCGTCTTGCAAAATATAGAGTTCAACATCATCACACGGATCTTCATAACTAACTAAAGCTAGCCTTCCTTCATAGAGTATCATATGAGACGAGGAACGAGAGCGACCCTCCGGATAGTTTATGCTATTGAAGCATTCAGATTTGACATCAAAGCTCATTATGCTATACTCATCATCACCAAGAAGAAGAGCTATATAATACAGAATACCATTGAAGCATTGCCCATATTCTCCTCCAATTGGGTGATGCATAGGGCAACGTCCTTTGGGTATTGCTCTCCATGATTCTTGACCTCCCAATGTAAGAACCAGAGGCTGATCAGTATCTTTGACTTTCGACATGAACAAGACTTTGTGTTTACCTTCCAAAGGATCGTAGCCCAAATCAAAATTATCAGACCTGTTTCGACTCCAGCTGCATTTACCAGGAGGATGTGGTAAGGCTAAAAACCGTCTCAGGGTTGGGTTCCAAATCTTGAATACGGGCGTTAAAATCAATCCATGAATGCTGTCGGATCGGGGATGTGTCCAATCTGAGTTTGTTATTTCATAACTATAGGACGGAGAACAAGTCGACCCGTCAGGGATCTGGTGTTGAGGAAACGAGAAAACATACTTTTGCGAACCTGATGAGATGGTGACCAGAAGATTCGGCGACCGTGAAGACGTGAATGAGTTGATAAAACTTGGAAGTGCGATTGAGGATGACCATAGCTTCGACACACATCGATATCTCATGATCGATTTTGCAGGAAGTCTTGAGAGTATCTCCAAGGTTAAATCCATAGGAATATGGTTTGGTTCTGATCTATCATCATCTTTGGATCCCTCACCTCTTCTTCTTCTTTTCTTCATCCATGCCTGATGATTCCTCACCGATACTTTCTCCTCCCTCATATTCTTTCTTGCAGTTATATTCCCCTTTTTTACTAGTTTTGTTTATATTTACAGAGTAGGCCGCACAGCTTTATATAATAAACCGAGCTTTTGGTGTGTCGGTTCAAAAAAAAAAAAAGGAAAACATAAAATTCCAAATGTTTTATGTAGAGTTTAGTAAAAAAAAAAAGAAATATGGAAATATGGAAAACGGCAGGGGCGGAGGTAGGGATGTTAATATGGGTAATTACCCATGGGTTTACCCAAACCCATTGATAATGGGTTGTGTTTTTACCCATCTAAAACTAATTGGGCTAAACATGGGTATAAAATTTTAAAACCCATATTAGATTGGGTAAATACATGGGGGTAATGGATACCTATGGGTACCCATGGGTTTTAATATCTTTTCTTTTAATGTTTTAAATAAACCATAATTTTATTTTTTCTATCCAAACTTAAAAAATGAATTTATCCGTCAGAACTGTAAAACGAGTTTTTTTCACCAAAATCGGAAAATTGACTTTTCCTGCAAAACCGCAAAAACGTGATTTCCCGTCAAAACCGCAAAAACGTGTTTTCCCGTCAAAACCGCAAAAACGTGTTTTCCCGCCAAAACCGCAAAAACCTGATTTCCCGTCAAAACCGCAAAAACGTGTTTTCCCGTCAAAACCGCAAAAACGTATTTTCCCGCCAAAACTGCAAAAACGTGATTTCCCGTCAAAACCGCAAAAACGTGTTTTCCCGTCAAAACTGCAAAAACATGTTTTCTCGCCAAAATCGAAAAACGTGTTTTCCCGCGAACCGAAAAACGTGATTTTCCGTCAAAACCGCAAAAATGTTTTTTCCCGTCAAAACCGTAAAAACGTGTTTTCCCGCCAAAATTGCAAAAACGTGTTTTCTCGTCAAAATCGAAAAACGTGTTTTCCCGCCAAAACCGCAAAAACGTGATTTCACGTCAAAACCGCAAAAACGTGATTTCCCGTCAAAACCGTAAAATGTGTTTTCCCGCCAAAACCGCAAAAATGAGTTTCCGGCCATACTGGAAAAACTAGTTTCTAGGAAACAAAAATCTGCATAATCTCTTTAGAACAAATAAAATAGTAGCTTGGGTACCCATGGGTTAACCTATATCCTACTGGGTTATTTTTTTGGGTTTTAAATTAACCTTGATGATTGTGGGTTTTCGTGGGTAGGATATAAACTGGGTTGGGTTTTTTGTGGGTTGGGCTGGGCTGGGTTATTTTACCCATTTTAACATCCCTANAAAAATCTGCATAATCTCTTTAGAACAAATAAAATAGTAGCTTGGGTACCCATGGGTTAACCTATATCCTACTGGGTTATTTTTTTGGGTTTTAAATTAACCTTGATGATTGTGGGTTTTCGTGGGTAGGATATAAACTGGGTTGGGTTTTTTGTGGGTTGGGCTGGGCTGGGTTATTTTACCCATTTTAACATCCCTAGGCGGAGGTATATTGAAGGTTGCGGCGTGATCTTGCTGTATACTTGTGTAGGTTCTGATTAAGGGTTTTGGGTATCAATAAGCTGAACAACCGAATGATTTTCGTCCGAGATTTGGTGTAACCTTGATTCCTTTTTCTTTCTCTGTGTTTTCGTTGGTCATATTCAATTGAATGTCTATTAACCACAGTTGCTTTATCTCTGTTATTCATGAGAAATGTGTGAAAATTGCTTTTAGATGACTATTGATAGTGGTAGCTTATGTTTGTAAGATCTGAGATGGGTTAACAAAAGGCTCAAGACGATGGAAATTTTTGCGAGAGATTAATATTCAATCGATACCAACAGCAACTATTGATAGTGAACCTTTAATTCAATCCTGCAAAAAATAAATCAGTGACAAAGAAGAAGCACAAGAAACAAAGGTGCAAAACAAAAGAAGGAGACTTCAAGCGCAAGACACACATGAACTAAATAATATACTTCAAATGAGTAAATAGTTATATGAAATTTTGAATAAAGAATCTCTTAGAAATCGGCTATCTCACATGGCTGGAGAGGAATCTTAATTGGACGAGACCTAATTGTAAACTCTGCAGGCTGGGAAGTTGGGAATGGTACAAGTATTAACATATGGGATAAGCTGTGGCTCAGCTGTTCCAGCCAAGATAGACCAATGGGACCTGCACCGAGAGATCTTGTTAACCTCACTGTGTCTGATCTCTTTCTCCCTGATCGCAATGAGTGGGACATAGATATGATCCAGAGAGTTCTACCTTTTGAAGAAAAGAAAATCCTTGCTATTAAGCCGAGTTTAACTGGGGCTCCAGATAAACTCTCTTGGCTGAGCACTACCTCTGGAGATCACTCAACAAAGACGGGATATGCTGCTGTCCTCTCTTCCCGAGCTGCAGACCATGCTGAAGACGCAGAAATCCTCTCTGTTTCACCACATTTTAGCTGGAAAAAGAATGTCTGGAAGCTCCTCACTACACCAAAGATAAAGCTTTTTGTATGGAAAGCCTTTCACGGTGCAATCCCAACAGCTGAGACTCTTAGAAACAGAGGAATCAACGTAGATGGACTCTGCAAAAGATGCAACATGCCTGAATCTATTGATCACATGTTCTTTCACTGTTCTTTTGCTCGACAAGTTTGGCATGCTGCCCCTGTCTCCCCAAACATTGAATACAATGGATCGATAGATTTAATAAGCATTTGGTCTAGTCTCTGTGATCGGAAAAATCTGCCACCAACCGGAGTAACAGTAGGAGCCCTTGCTCCATGGATTCTCTGGCAGCTTTGGCTAGCTCGAAACAAGCTAGTATTTGAAGGGAAGATCACAACGACTGAGGAAGTTGTCTCCAAGGCTACTGCCTGCGCGCAGGAATGGATCCAAAGTCAAGCTCAAAGCACTCAGCCACGCAAGCCGAGTACTCATGCACCAGCTTTACGGTCGGAGTCAATAGTGATCACTACGGATGCGGCATGGAATGAGAATCTAAATCTTGCAGGTTTGGGCTGGACAACAAAGAACCAACTCAGAGAGTCCACCTTCTCTTCGCTTGCTCGCCATGTTGCATCACCACTTGCAGCTGAAGGTTTGGCAATATAGGAAGCACTTCTTAAATGCAGAGAACTCGGCTTACCGAGAATTAGATGTGAATCGGATTCTGCCATTCTAATTAAAGCCATTAAGTCAAATGCTCCGCTTGTGGGGCTGTATGGTATTCTTGCTGACATTAACTCTATCGCTTCTTCTTTTGAATCCATCTCTTTTACCTGGATCTCGCGTGAGAGAAACAAGGTTGCAGATGGATTGGCAAAGAATGTCTTAGCTTCTGAACTTGCCTTCTTGGCATCGACTAATCCTGTTTAAGGAGGTCTTATAATATAAGTTGTGTTTCAAAAAAAAAAAAAGAATCTCTTAGAAAAGGGTAGGGTTTTGGTTTATTTAGTGAAGGTAGGGGGAATAATAGCTTTTGATAACACATTGTGGTTTGGGTTTGTGGCTGACGAAGATTAGACTGTGACAGTGCACATGAGGGTTAACAGAAAAGCCCTTATGGAATTGAACAAGCAGCTAGCTTCTGATACTCGCATAGAGGTCTCTCAAGTCTCCATTGGTGATGGTGTCACTCTCTGCAGACGCCTTGTGTGATTGAAAGAGACTCATCGAATGTTCTTGGTTCTACTTTTAAGAATCTTTACTGCTATATTGTCGTCTGTTCTTGCTCATTTCATGTTGCGTTTGTGTGTGTTGGACTATGCTAAAGAATAAGGGGATTTGGGTTTTTTTTTGTCTGTATCATGAAATGCACTGCCGAGCACAAAAATCTATAAGAGAAACTATAACCTTTCAAGGCATTTATATAAATAAATATATATATCATAATATCAGCAAAGACCCTACTAATCTGGAGAAGATAAATTCAGAATCATTTATTGGTGATTTCTATTATTACAGTATTACAGAATCATTGAAGCATTTATGGAGTATATATCCCGTTTATCCTTGAATCAATATTGTAATGCAAAAAAACTTTGTAAGAAATAACATAAGAGAAAATCTAAGTAATGCATAGACAAGAACTCAGTGAATAAAAAAAAACAAAGTAACACTGAAGAACATCAGAAAAATGCAAAAACATAAAAGAATCACTAAATGAGCACTGAGCAACCGAAGGTGGTGCTCTACAAAGAAAAGAGACTCTCGATGTGATTTGGGAAAACTTGCAAGGTGGACTTGCCGTTAATGCTATCAAGTCCACAACGGCGTCTAAGGTCATCCATATTTATTTCAAAAAAGACTTTTCTAATACTTTTTCTCCTCGGATCCAAATATAGAGTATAAAACGTTTCATAGAAATCAGACGGAGCAAAAACAAACTCGCCAGCATCTGTAGTACCCCAGAATTGTATATAATACTTCTGTACGATCTCATATGGTAAATGAAGAACAAAGCTTTCACGTGTCCATTTGTGTCCATGTGCATCTTCCAAAATATAAAGTGTAACATCATAATATGGATAGTCATAAGTAACTAAAGCTAGCCTTCCCTCATAGTGTATAATATGAAACGAGGAAAAAGAGAGACCCACCTCCACGGGATAGTTTATAACATTGAAGTTTTCAGATTTGACATCAAAGCTCATTATGGTATCATGACTATCACCAAGACGCCTAGCTCTGTAATACAGAATCCCATTGAAGCATCGCCCATATACTCCATTTGGGAGATGCTTAGGGCAACGTCCTTTGGGTATTATTCTCCATGATTCTTGACCTCCCAATGTAAGAACCTGAGGCTGATCAGTATATTCCATTGGGAACATGAACAATACTTTGTGTTTACCTTCCAAAGGATCGTATCCGAAATAAGACGACCGACCTAAACAAGACCCCCAACCGTTTCGACTCAAGCGGGATTTATCAGGACGTGGTAAGGATAAAAACCGATTCAAGGTTGGGTTCCAAATCTTTAAATCGGGTGATAAAATCAAACCATGGATGCTCTCGGATCGCAAGTATTTCCTATTTGTGTTTGTTATTTGGTTACTGTAGATTGGAGAACAAGTCGACCCGTCAGGAATATGGTGTTGAGGAAACGAGAAAACAAATCTGCTTATCCAACCAGATGCGAAGGTGACAAGAAGAGTTGGTGATCGTGAAGTGGACCGAGACGTGAAGGAGTTGATAAAACTCGGAAGTGTGATAAAAGAAGACCACAGCTTCGAGACACATTGATATCTCATGATTGATTTCGCAGGAAGCCTTGAGACTATATCCAATGCTAGATCAAGAGGAATATGGTTTGGCTGTGATTTATCATCTCTTGATCTCTCTCGTCTTCTTCTCTTTTTCATCCATGGCTGATTGCTCAACAATCTCTTCTTGAAAACCCTCGCCATATTCTTTCTTCCAGCTATATTCACCTTTTTACTAGTATTGTTTATATCTAGGGCTCCATATATTATAATACAACACAGTAGGCCACACGTTATATAATCAACCGGGCCTAGCGTAGTTGAATTTCCCTAATTGAGAGAACTTTATAGATATTTTGAGAGAAAAATTTTCCTTTTCCTTTTTTTTCAGACGCTAAGTTAAAAAACAAGGAAAATAACGTAACCCCCCCCCCCCCCCAATTTTTGTAGAGTTTAATAAAAAAAAAAGAAATATGGAAAAATGCATAAAAACAATGCCTTTGCTTAATTAAATTTCTCTAAACCATTCGTCATTGACAAAGAAAAGAAGAGACACTCGAGTAGCATCAGGCGTCGTGAGACATGAGAGGTCTCAACACGAAGAAATTAAGGAGAGAGATGGAAGCGAGAAAAAAAAGAGGAAAGACAGAGAGGACGAGAATGGGGCTAGGGAAGGAATCAAGAAACCTATGTTTTCTATCAGGTTTTAAGATGCGCCTATGAAACCACGGAAATTTTAACTCACATGCACTTGATATTTTATCCTGAATAACCAATATTTTATTTACAAGTGCACTTGGAAAGAGAGATAGATGAACACGGACGTGTGGTTAGTGAGCGATCTTAGTACATTGAAGGTTTAACATCAACAAATACAAGTAAGATGATTTTCAGTTTCTTAAACCGGAAGTAATAGACCCACCCCATTTTGATTCAACGATGAGTCATATTGGTTAAAAACAAGATTTTGAGACCTAAACGCTGAGAATTTGAAACTAAAGTGTCGCTTTGGTGATGCAAAAGCAAGAGGAGCTCAGGCTGAAGCAGGCTTACCAGCTTACGAGTTACGAAGATTCTTGCACCTGAAGCAAGCCAAGACCCTACTAAGCTGGAGAGGATAATTGAGAATCATTTATTGGTGATTCCTATTATTACAGAATCAGCAATTATGGAGTACCTATCCCCTTTATCCTTGAATCAATATTGTAATGCAAAAATCAAAAAACTCTGTAAGAAATAACATAAGAGAAAATCTAAGAAATGCATAGACATGAAATCAGTGAATCAAAAAGAACAAAGTAACACTGAAGAAATAACATCAAGGTACACAATATGTGTTCTCATAAAAATACAAAAACATAAAAGAATCACTAAATAGCATTGAGAAACCGAAGGTGGTGGTGCTCTATAAAGAAAAGAGACTCTCGACGTGATTTGGGAAAACTTGCATGGTGAACTTGTGTTTGCTATCAAGTCCACAACGACGTCTAAACTCATCCAAATTTCTTTTAATGAAGACTTTTCTAGTAGTCTTTCTCCTCGGATCATAAAATAGAATATAAGAATCTTGATAGAAACTATACGGAGCAAAAATAAACTCACCAGCATCTGTAGTACCGGTGAAATGTATAGAATCCCTCCGTATGCTCTTACATGGAATATGAAGAACAAACCGTTTCCATTCGTGTCCATGTGCATCTTCCAAAATAAAGAGTTTAACAACATCATAGGGATGATCATGAGTAACTAAGGCTACCCTTCCCTCATAAGGTATCAAAAACAAGGGACATTTAGATTCACCATCCGGAAACTTTATAGGAATGAAGTTTTCAGTTTTGACATCAAAGCTCATTATGATATCTTGATCATCACCAAGAAGACGAGCTGTATAATACATAATCCCATTGAAGCATCGCCCACGTGTTCCAGTTGGGAGATGGACAGGGTAACGTCCTTTGGTTATATGTCTCCATGATTCTTGAATACCCAATGTAAGAACCAGAGGCTGATCGGTATATTCTTCAGATGGTACAAAAAGTACTTTGTGTTTACCCTCCAATGGATCGTATCCTAAATAAGACGCCCAACCGTTTTGATCCGGGCTGTGTTTACCAGGAGGATGTGGTAAGGCTATATACCGTCTCAAGGTTGGGTTCCAAATCTTGAATAGGGATGCTAAAATCAATCCCTGGATGCTCCCGGATCGCCAATAGTGCCAATCTAAGTTTGTTATTTCATAACTGTATAATGGAGAATAAGTCGACCCTTCAGGAACCTGGTGTGTAGGAAAGAATAATACATATTTTGCCGATTGTGTTGAGAAGGTGACCAGAAGAGTCGGCGATCGTGAAGTGGACCGAGTCGTGAATGAGTTGATAAAACTTGGAAGTTTGGTCATAGAAGACCATAGCTTCGACACACATCGATATCTCATGATCGATTTCCAAGGAAGTCTTGAGAGTATCTCTAAGGTTAGATCAATAGGAATATGGTTTGGTTGTGATCTATAATCATCTCTTGATCTCTCCTCTCGTCTTCTTCTCTTCTTGTTCTTCCATGGCTGATTCCTCGACAATACTTTCGTCTTGAAAACCTTCATTCTTTCGTCCAGTTATATTCCATCGCCCCTTTAGGGTTCCATATATATATACTTAATTATATTTATCTCACAATACCATAGACCGCTCTATATCTCATTATATATCGTATTTCGTATTATATAAAGGTTGTTATAAAAGTTGCTAACTTTTTTTTTCCTTTTAAAAACTGCTAAACCAAAAAAAACTATTTACTAATTAACTTTATTGGGACATATGACAACAAAATTTCAAAATTTTGACATGTGTTCAAAAATTTTCTAAACTTAATAATTATATAATAGTAACTTACATTTTAAAAAGATATCTTATTATATAAAGTTTGGTTTTCAAAGTTACTAATTAACATGATTGTGACATGTGGCAATTACATATCTAAGATTATGACATATGTTAAATCATAATTTTCTTTTTTTTTACTTAAATACTTAATCTAAACGAATTTATTTTTTTCTTACAATTTTCCTTCTTAAAAATACACTTAAACTAAACAAATTTAAATCATAACTTTCCTTTTTAAATACTCAAACTAAAAACGAATTTCCTTTTTTCTTACAATCTTATTTATAAAAAAATACTCAAACTAAACGAATTTATTTATTTTCTTAAAAATAATTATTCAATAGTAATTTTTCCTTTTTAAGTTAAAAAAAGGAATTCATAATTATCTTTTTTTTTTAGGATTTGTAAAAAGGAAAATTAAAATACAAAGAATATTATTTACTTTTTACTATTAAATTAAATTTATTTTTTTCTTAAAAATAATTATTTAATAGTAATTTTTCCTTTTTAAGTTAAAAAAGGAATTCAAAATTTTTCTCAGAAATAGTTATTAATAGTGTAATTTTTACAAAATATTGTAAACAAAAAAAATGATATTAATATTAGTATTTATTTCCCTAAGCATGGGTTTAAAATAATTACAAAGAAAAACAGTATTTTAAGTTTTATATACAAAATAAAATCTTAAAAATTCTTATAAATATAATAGTATTTTAGATTTTACAAAGAGAATTCTAAAACCAAAATTTATTATAATTTTATTTTAGTTGTAGAAAATTATTTGCACTGCCAAATATAATATGTGTTTAAAATAATTAGAAGTCTATAACTTTATTTTAGTTGTAGTATTTATTTAAAATAAAATTATATTTGATTTATTTTTTTATTACAATTTTCCTTCTTAAAAATACACTTAAACTAAACAAATTTAAATCATAACTTTCCTTTTTAAATACTCAAACTAAAAACGAATTTCCTTTTTTCTTACAATCTTATTTATAAAAAAAGATACTCAAACTAAACGAATTTATTTTTTTCTTAAAAATAATTATTCAATAGTAATTTTTCCTTTTTAAGTTAAAAAAAGGAATTCATAATTATCTTTTTTTTTAGGATTTGTAAAAAGGAAAATTAAAATACAAAGAATATTTACTTTTAACTATTAAATTAAATTTATTTTTTTCTTAAAAATAATTATTTAATAGTAATTTTTCCTTTTTAAGTTAAAAAAAGGAATTCAAAATTTTTCTCAGAAATAGTTATTAATAGTGTAATTTTTACAAAATATTGTAAAAAAAAAACGATATTAATATTAGTATTTATTTTCCTAAGCATGGGTTTAAAATAATTACAAAGAAAAACAGTATTTTAAGTTTTATATACAAAATAAAATCTTAAAAATTCTTATAAATATAATAGTATTTTAGATTTTACAAAGAGAATTCTAAAACCAAAATTTATTATAATTTTATTTTAGTTGTAGAATATTATTTGCACTGCCAAATATAATATGTGTTTAAAATAATTAGAAGTCTATAAATTTATTTTAGTTGTAGTATTTATTTAAAATAAAATTATATTTGATTTATTTTTTATTACAATTTTCCTTCTTAAAAATACACTTATACTAAACAAATTTAAATCATAACTTTCCTTTTTAAATACTCAAACTAAAAACGAATTTCCTTTTTTCTTACAATTTTATTTATAAGAAAAAAAGAAATTCGTTTTTAGAATAATTTTTTTATGTAAGAAAAAGATTATTCATACAATCGAGATTATTCATACAATCGAGAAAAAAGATTATTCATACAATCGAGAAAAAATATTATTTTTTATATTATCTTTTTCCTTTTAAAAAAAGATTATTCATACAATCGAGATTTTAAAACATAAGTTTTATAAAACACATATATTTTGTGGCTACAAGAATCAAAACAGGATAAAATTTCATAAGGTATTAATAGTTTTATTACCTCTAAATTAGATGATAAAATGCTGATATATAATGTTTTCTATTACCTATACAACTAAGATTATTTGCAATTCACTTATAGATTCATCTATAAATTTTGTTCTAAAACAGAAAAATACTATTACCAAAGTATATAAATGATAAAAACACAAAAAATCGAGACCTTACAATGACAACACAAGCATTACTAAATTACAATTGAAACTTCATAATATGTTTGAGTAAGAAGAATAAAAGCAAATTAATAAAGACAAAATTAAGAGTTTAATAAAGTATATTCCATTATCATATACTTGATTGGCTTGATTCACCTTTCAAATTCTTTGTATTTCACTCTAATTTACATTTATTTAGATTGCGTTTAATTTGAACTTTCGGGTCTCACTTATTTTCTCTATCTCTACGTATATGTGCCATAATTATTGAATTGAAGTTTAACCAAAACTTATGTTAAAAAACTGAATTCAACACACCATATATAAAAACATTCAATTTCAATAAAAAAAAATTTCTTATTTTTATCTTTTTTATTAAACTTATAAAACATTAATCAAATTAAACCAAAAGTTAAGATTTGCTTCCTTATAAATATTTTAATTTTTCTAAAAGTTATGGATCAATTTATACTGCATGCTTATTTCTTAAGTTTAAATAATCAGTTAGCTTTGATTTAATGTTTGCTAATTCATCGATAAATTTTATAATCTAATTGTCTTTTTTTTTGTACTTTGAAATACATTATGAAAATATCTATCAAATAAAAATATGGAGATCATACATAAACTATGTGTTTTGCGCACCATAACCTTCTTATGAATATTTATTACTTTATAGTTTAATTCAAAACCAAGTATAATAAGTTATTATTTATATTTTCAAGAAATATAAGTAAAACATCAAATTATTTATACATAAAAAATTTCCATTAAGATATATATGCTTATTGTGTTGAAATTTAAACACTCATATATTATAAATATTTTCTTAAAATATCTTTATACAAATATGTTTGTTAGATTTATTTTAAATTTCTGTATAAATCAGTTTAAAATTTTTATAATAAAAAGATTTTTTCCAAATAATAACATAATATATAATTATCTTATATACAAATTCATTAAATGATAATAAATACTTTAACCGCTCTAACTTTCAACGTGAAAATGTTTTAACTTTTTATCTTTACAAATATTCTTTTTTGTGGAAATATTCACCAACCAATAGGGTGTTGTTATTTGATATTTGATATCTTTTAAAAAAGGAAGCAAAATCATGTCAAGTTATATTATGTATTTAAAATAAAAAGAGAAAACATAAATAAAAATACTAATATTTACAAAAAACGAAAATAAAAATCTTTAAAAAATATTTTAACATTATATTGTTTTAAAATAAAAGATAAAAATAAAATAAAAATAGTAATAATTGCAAAAAACAATTTAAAACAAAAAATATTTGAATATATCTTTAAAATAAAAAAAATGTGGTTAAAATAAAAAGATAAAAATAAATAAAAAATAGTATAGTTGGTTAGTATTAATTTACCCAAGGGTTAAGATTTTTCCAAAGGGTTTATGATTTACCCAAGGGTTTAGGGTTTAGGATTAGGGTTTAGGGTTTACTATTAGGGTTTAGGGTTTAGGATTAGAGTTTAGGGTTTAGTGTTAAATATTTTTTAAAAAAGTTTTTTTCGTTTTTTAATATTATTATTTTTATTTATGTTTTATATTTTTATTTTAAAAACATAATATAACTTAACAAGATTTTATTTCCTTTTAAAAAGATATCAAATATAAAATAACACTATTCTATTGGTTGGTGAATCTAGAGGTTCACCCTAGGGGGTGAACCTAAGAATAACTCTTTATATTTTCTGTTGATTTAATGTTAGCTAATAAATTTAATTGTCTTTTTGTTTTTTTTTCTCAAATCCATTAAGGAAAATATCTATCGATTGAAAATATGTACATATGATTTAGATCCGAGGACGTGATACGATAGTACAGATCTCAGTGGTTGGAGAAGATTTTTTCTTTGTATTTTTTTTTTTCAAAATACATTAAGAAAATATCTTGGCTGCATTAGAAGAGAATTCTAGAGATCTCAATGGTTGGAGAAGATTTTTTCTTTGTATTTTTTCCTCAAAATACATTAAGAACATTTATTGGCTGTATTAGAGCATCCACATCAATGAACCCCCTCTTGGGGTTCATTGATTCAATTGTTTATTATTAAAAAAATTTGATTTTCTTTTTAGTTTTTAAAAAAAAAAAAAAAAAAAAAAAAATTAACCAACCGCGGGTCGCCACGTGACCCGGGACCCGCGCTACAGTGATTAACCGGGTTCACCGCAGAGAGTCTGCAAGAGGCAGGTTCATCACTATTCCTTATTTTAATATTTTTTTTTTTGAAAACCGTGTGAACCCCCCATCTGAACTTCTGATGGGGGTGCTCTTAGAAGAGTATACTATTATACTAGAGATCTCAATGGTTGGAGAAGATAAGATTTTTTGAAGCAATTATGGAGTATCCCCTTAATCATTGAATCAATATTGTAATGCAAAAACTTAGTAAGAAAAACCTTAAGATCAAATCTCTAAGTAATGCATAAACGCGAACTCAATGAATCACAAAAAGTAACAATGAAGAACAGCAAGGTACACCATATATGTTCACAGAAAAAAAAACACAAGAAAAAAGTCAAAAACATACGAGAAACACTGGAGAGCATTGAGTACCGAAGGT